ATTTAGGGTTTGTTTTTTTGGTTTTTGGTTTTTTGGGGTTTTTGTTTTCGCCTCTGGGATGCGATTTCACTATCAAACTCCGCCGCTTTTTTATTTACTACGGCACCAAAGCCAAATATATAAAATGGGGGAAGCACCAAAGAAGAACAAGAAGGAAAAACAAAAAAAAAAACAAGTAAACGTAAACAAACAGAAAATAAAAAAATAATAATAATAAATTTTTGGTCGGTATTTTCCCCTCAAAGTCTTCATGCGCGGGCGGATCTCCCTTCCACGCCTCTCCCCCCTCCCACCGCCATTTCATTTTGGCGCTGTTTTTTTGTTGGTGTACGAACGTGCAGGCGTCAAGTCTCGTCGCTACGACTACTCCCTCTGAAAACAACAACAACAAAAAAAAAAAAAAAAAACAGCAGTCGCACCCCCTATGAAAGCCAACGCCGCCGATTTATCCGTCACATTATATTGCAGATCAACAGTTACAAAGCCACACACACGCAGAAAAATAAAATTTAATTCAGAAAAAAGTGCAGAGAATGACGGAGTGTGGCCCAGAGAAAAAAAGAAAAAAAACGTTGCATTTGGTACCCAATAAGCCGTTCACTTCTTTAGGGTGCGGTATAATTTTTTCCGTGGTGGCTTCTTGGAGCTGTCGTCGGGAGACCTTTCTTTTCTCCCCTCGTCCGGTTCCTCACGATGGCGGCGCAGTGCCTGACGCATTGTGGGATCAAGCCCACTACCGCTGCGCGTGTTCTTCTCAGGAACGTCGGAGAGCCACGCCTCGGCCTTCAAAAAGACGACATTCTTCATGACTTCAGCCAACTTTGCACTTCCGCTTTGAAACATTGTTTCAAGCACAATGCGACCAGCCCACGGCGAGACGGCCAGTTCGAAGACAAATGGCTTTAGTTCGTCCATCAGCTGCTTGCGCTGATGTTCCAACTGACGGCTACGACACTCACGAAGAATTGCCTGAATGACATAGCACGCGTGGTTATGAAGAGCATACGAGACTATAGCCCTAGAGGTGACCTTGTAATGCTTTTTGCGATTTATTTCGCGCTGTTCGCGACGGGAAGGTTTCGCCTTCAATGCGGGTTGATCTGCCTTCTTTTCACCATCACCATTACCATCATTATCATCGTCAGTCTCCGCCCCCTCGTGCTGCTCCTCCTCCTTCTCCTCCTCATCGATTGTCCCGCTTTTTTTCCGTTCCTGCTCTGCCTCGCGAAGCAGAGCATTGACTACAGTTAACACCGCCTCATCCGATGCGTACGCAACAAGCTTTTGCATTACACGAGACCCCTGTGCAAAAGAAAGCATCTCATGAATTTCAGAAAAAACGTCAAGAAGTGCGTTCACAAGCTCCTCGCGGACCCCGCCAGCAGCTCCATACTGCAGCATGGCCTGGATAAGATACGATGCAGCATCGTGCGTCACCAACTGTCGCAGCTCGCCCCTTATATTTTCTAATATCAACCTCGCAGTGTTCACATCCTCAGGAAAGCACTCCAACAACTTTTGTAGCACGGGTGAGGAAACGGGATCCTGCGAAAGCTCAAGTGCAGCCCCCGCCAGGCGTTTTCTCTGGTCTGCGGTTAGTAAATAGCCACAAGACTCTATCATCGCACGAAGCAGCATGGTGCGCGCGGGGTCTCGTGCCAATTGAATTACGTCAATTACCGTCCCGTTTGGCATCATCGTGGTCGCCGCCCAAAGACTTTCTTGGCTTTCTGGGAGTGTCTTGAATGCAGCGACCGCTATAGCAACGGCTGTCTTGTGTGAAACAATGCGTTCAATCAGGCCGGTGACAGAGCGTAAACTTTCCCACATTTCCTTCCTTTGCGCAATATCGCCGTACCCAAACACTGTCACGTAGGCGTGATAGTGGCGCGGAAAATCGTGTTTGGCCTCGTCCTTTTTCAATTTGGCGTACCCAAAATCGGGCAGGGGGAATTCATCCTCCTCCGCTTGGGCCGCGGCAGTGGCAGCAGATGTCTCCTTCCTCGAATTCAAATATTCAGCTGCGTACTCGCAAAGGTGGGCGCAAATAGCATCCTTCACAGAGACAGAAACCAGTGGATGCCTTAAAAGCGCAGATACCGTCATATTGTCGTCAAGGGGTTGAAACAGAAGAGCAATTTTGCCCTCCTCTACGTCCCGTTCCTCATCCGTGCCAAAGAGTGCCCTCGAAACAGCCCGCCATCCTTCTTCGGTAGATTCCATGTACTTCACAACCACACGTTGCCCATATGGATGTACTGCTAGAAAGGAAATATGCGGCACGAAACGCTCCTCCAGCACCTCACGAGAACTGGGGTGCTCCATAATTTTTTGTGCCACGTGGTTACCGAATGGATGTTCACAGAGACGGCGAAACTCATCCGCTTCGGCGTTGAGAACAAATACCTCTGCAATCTCCCGTCTTTGCTGAATAGGAAGTTTCTCCAGCATCTCCTGAACAATAGTATTACCAACCGGGGAGAAGGAGAGATCTCTGATCTTGCGACGTAAATGGTAGAGCATCTGCACCCGTATCAGCCCGTCACACTTCGCAAGAATTGAGAGCAACAAATGGTGTGATGCCTTGCTCAAACAAAGTGCATACGCGTTCGGTAAGATCTTTTGCACCACTTTAGCCCGCTGCTCCGGCCTACCGTACAGCAGAACAGCCTCCACCTGCTTCAATGGCATCGACTTTCCAGTCGCAGCCCGTTGCGAAGGGTTTTTCAAAAAGTCCAGTCGCATACCAGGCATGATTTATTGCTGCTGCTTCCCTTCACACACACACACACAGAGAGAGAGAGAGAGGGGGCAAGAGAAAACTTTTCCTTTTCTCTTTTTCTTGTTTCTTCTTTGCTCGTTAAGATGTGTTTCACCGCTTTCTCTCTACCTTTTGTTTCTTTTGCTCTCAATTAAATGTTTTCCCTCGTTATTACCCGTAATGTTGCTGTGCCTTTCGCCAAAAAGAAAATCAAAAACAAAAAGCAAAATAAAAGGATATTAGTAGTAACCGATGCGTCCTTAAAGCATGTACGCATATGTACATGTGCGTACACACGCGTGGTACAGTTACAAATTCCGCATAAAAAAATGGTACAAAAAACAAAAAAAAAAAAAGGACAAGAAACAAAATAAATAAACACATTGCGCGCCTTCCTTCAGCCACACGCACACACACACACGCACACACACACACACACATATATATATATATATATATATATATATATATATAGGCACAGACATTGAGTTGTACATATTTACATCGTTTCCATTACAAAGCCATCATAAAGAAGAAAAAAAAAATTCTCGGAGCCAAAATAATTTAAAAAAAAAAGGTTTTGCAGAAAACACAAACAACAAAATAATGTGTGATGTCAGTGTGCTGCTGATGCATCGGCGGCAAAAAAAAAAAAAAAATTAAACTAATAAACTTCATATATTTGTCCCAATATTGTTTCTTTCTCTCTTAAAAGTCAATTGGCATACGGACACCTACATAATAGACCTCGCCACGGCTTGTGTTGCTAATAATGCTCGCCTCCTCTGCCGCTTTTTGATATAATTTCCACGCTGCGGCCATCTGATCCATCAAAAGTCCCAACCGGGCCTCCGTTTCAAGACTCACCAATCGGTGCAGCTGTGCAACGTTCTCTTCAGCGTCATTTGCCACACCCGGGCATTTGGCCTTGTGGCCGGAGGTGTAAGACCACCAAAGGCCTTGCAAAAGATACACCGGACAAAACGGCACGCAATTGGCAGAGGCAAAAATTTCGGCTGCAATACCTGCACTGCGCCCCTCACAGGCTGCGAGCATACATTGCGCTTCTGCAAGAGCTGAAAGAAAAGGAGTTCGAAGCCCTGCATAGGAGTCACGTTCAAGTGCACTAAGAAACACGACACCTAACATTGGATACAGTGGCGGCCCTTCGGAATCAATATCCCACAAGCCGTTTTCCTCATCACGTGCCACGGCGTCTGTGCACGGCCCCAAATCCTGGGGTTGGCAAATGCCCGCACCAAATGCAGGGTCATGCCGCTGCCGCACTTCAGTTTCATTCTCGGCAAAGTTGTTGTCTTCTTCATTCCCCTGTTCCATCCACTGACTTTCTCGGTCCTTTAGTTCTTCTAACATAATCTGCTCACAGTCGATAGCAGCCTCATTTTCCAGCCTCGCTAGTATAGCCTCACGCCTCTGCATTTCTTTTAGCTGCTCTTCCATCATTATCAATTCTTCCCTATCTCGTTCTTGCGCCAGTTTTTTTGCCTTATAGTACTCATTCACAAAACGTGCCATAATGGAAAGCCATTCGCCCGCCTCTTGCGCAAAAATTTCCACACGGGCAGCCGTCTCCGGCTCCTCAATATCCTCCGTTGAGGAGATGCCCTTTTCTTGACTGTATTTTATCATTTTGATGTACGACCATGCCCTCCTACCCTCCTCCAGGTAGGAGGCTTCGGGAAAAGCATCCGGCCACGAGTCCAGTTCAGAGTGAACGTTCGGCTGATTTTTGGAGAAACGGTTTGCCTGTCGGCGTCCGTCACGAGCCTTTGTATTTCGTCCCGCGGGTTTCTTTGGGTTTATTCGACCCCGTTCACCGCCCAAGAACATGGGAAGACGCATTCCAAACGGACGCTTCTTTTTGAACCAATCCAATATTTCCTCTAACTCCTTGGCTTCCTCGCCAACAATGCTCTTCCGGACCTCCTCGTACGATGGCATCAAATTCGAAATTCTTTTCCGCATGTCATCCTCCATACGTTGTCGAATAAGACGGGCGACTGTATCTTTTTCAATCATGTAACACATGCGCTGTCTGCCTTCTTCGCGCTCATAAATACCTCGGACATCTTCTTCTGCAGATTGAATATCTACCTGAAGAAGGATACTGACGCCCCGAAGAAAACCCACCCACAAGCGAGTCGATTCAAGTTGCTCAGAGAAAATAATGGTTTCCCTCTCCTCGGTTTCTTCCTTAAATAGGCGAAGCTGCGCAGCCCTTTCTTCCACAAACCTCATCTCGTGCGATGGCTCTGCCGCAGCCGCTTCTGGCTGATTCATCAACTCACTTTTTTCCATGCTTCTTGACATGGAGACTGTCCCAACCAAACCGCTAACGACAGAAGGGTACACACGCTTTTGCACGACAGGGAGGTATGGGCTTGGTGGCTCCAGCGGCTCCCAATTGATGAGGGCCGGCTGATCCCACGAGGGCAGCCTCAACATGGGGCATTTAAATTCTTCCTGCGCACCACAGTTCTGCCCTTCGCGTAAATTAAGAAGTGAACGCCGCATAAAAAAGAAAAAAAAAAAAAGAAATTCAAAGCCTCTTTGCGACCCCTTGGGAAACAACTTTTTAAGGCGCAGACGCACAGACTAATTAAAAGAAAAAAAGAAAAAAAAAGGGAATTTATAATAAATTTAAAAAAAAGTCAGTTTAAGAAAAGAAAGAAGAAAAAGAGGCTGTAAACCAAAGTCAACAATACACTCAGCCAATTTCATTTTGTCCTCCAAATTAAATCTACCAGAACGTGCAAAAAGAGAAGAAAAAAGGAAGGGAAGATCAATCAGAGAAACATTCCAATGTAAAGTCTTTTTCTCTCTCACTTTCCCCTCCTCACCTCTGAGCACCAAACAAACACAAACACACCGAAGGGCACAAGAAATATGTATACTCGCGTGTATGCCTTTTTTCACCGATGTTTGTTTTTTCCCCCAATTCGGGATCACCGCAAAATGAGAAAAGAAAAAAAAAGGAAGACAACAACTATCGCAGTGGCACACCTCTCATCGCCGGTACGTTACGGGCACACCGTTTCTACCCAGTGCAGTTCGCCGAGACCAAAGGGATTGCATAGAACCGTTTGCCATCATGGTTGGCTCTGACTGGCCCCAGAAATTGGGATCATCCCCAATATTTGTAGACCCATCAGGGCGGTGGCGAGCACGAACCCGCAATTCCGATGGCTTCTTTGCATGAAACGCAAGAATTGCCTCGATTTCCTCATCCGGTGGAGCAGCCGGCTCTGGAAGTCCACGAGACTCGTAAAACTCCTGCACCTGAATGTCCCACTTCGTTTGAAAAAATGTGACAGCACATGGGTCAGGTGGAAGCACCGCATCGACCTCACGAAGCGTTGTGTTAGCCGTCACTGAAAACCCTTCACGGTGAGGTGCATGGATGCGGAAATCACTACGGGCAATGAAACTTTCCTCCGTTTCGTCCATGACGGTGGTCAAACTACTCGCGTAATCAGACTGCTTAAAAAGCATACACAAGTGACGAGTTGTCCCCGCGTCTTCCGTTGGCAATGGAGGAACATACGGCATCACAACATCGCCTTTTTTGTCGGCACCCCGTGTATCCACTACGACACCCTTTGCTACGGGTGCATGTGGGCCATTGCCACCTCCTGGAAGGTTGGCAACCATGTAATTAAGGAAGAAACCTTTTTCCTTCCGTCCATCGGATTCAGGGGGAACGCGATAAGGGAAATCAGGAGAGGCTATAATAAGCATGTAAAATTCAGCCCCACTGGCTGACTCCTTTCTCTCACCTTCCTCTTCCTCAAAGAAAAAAATAGATGGCGGATGTTGTAATTCTGTCAGCTCAATGTAATTTCCACAGTGGGCGGTCATCCAGAAGTTGCGAGGCGTCAATTCACTAACGGGCGGTGGCGGTGGCAGCGACTCCCCTGTTTCTTCGCATTTGCGGGCCCGTGTGGCGTACGTCCCTGGAAAAACAACAGAGAGGTTCACGTCCTGGTGCACATGCGGTAGATAGCGCGGCAGGACCTCGTGTTTGCGAAGGTACTTCAGAGAGCGTTGACGGTGATTTTTCCACGCCAACAGATCCGCGCGTGGCACAAGCAGCCGGTGGTCCTCATCCGGAAGCGGCGGGTATGACGTCCGCTCAAAATCGGATGCATTCCAGTAAATAAAGAAGTCGGGTGGGGGTACAATGTTGAAGAGGTGCGGGGTGTCAAGCTCGTTCTCGTACACGGGGTATTGAAACATGGTGTCACTGAGAACCGTCTTCTCGTAGGGGTACTGAAAGTCATGCAACGCCTGCGGCCGCGGGAGTTTTTCAATCTGCCGTGCCTTTCGGTCTGCCTCCCGCTGCTCCCGCGTCCGCGCATCCCTCGTGCTTACTTTTGTCTTCCACCCCGGCATGTGGTAGCCGCGGCAAAAACACAACGTTGCCGTCAATGCTTCGCCGCGTCTCAAGTACACGGCACCGCCACCAACAATGCGGCGCATCCTTTCGACTGCTCTATTTAGTTTCAGCACACGGAAAGAAGTATACACAAACAGACAAATAAAAAACAACAAGAACAACAAGAAGAAAAGACAAAATAATAATAATAATAATAATAATAATAATAATAATAATACATCAGAACAGCAATGACTACAACAACGCCTTTGAGTACGGTTGTGTGCGTAAAATAAACGACTACAGAAAAAAAAAAAATTCTAAAGGAAAGAAAAGTAATTAGGGTAACGTAAAAGTAAAACCCAAAATCCTTACTGCGGTTCCTGAAGTGGTTCCGCTTCTTTATACATCTTCATATAATGTTCCTTGTATGATTTCCCTCTCCATTGTCGATGCGGTGGAGAATTCGCCAGTACACCCTCTCGATCACAGTCCGCGTTCACACCCCACGACTCGTCAGAATTCATTCGGCAGAGTTCAAAGGTGAGACGCTTCGTCAGTCGTCTCGAGGAGTGACCATCTCGGTACTTCCGCAAA